GGAAAGCTGATATAAAAAAAGAAAAATCAAAATATCAATAACGGCAACTAGTTAAAGGCAAAGTAATGTACGTTTTATGATCTAACGTCTTGGTAAATTTAGTAAAGTTCAATTATCAAACATAGAATGTCAGATATAAATTAATTAGTGATCTGAAAACATTGCATACTAATCTACACCAAATAATATATTGATGCTGATGTGATCATAATGTTTAATATAAAGCAAATTAGATGTTTTAGAATTTCATATTAGGGCTGGTTTATCAGTCGATTGTATTGATTAATAAATTTTTTTGTTTATGAAGATTTAATTTTTGCAGAATTTGGACTTTTTTTTCCCACCTATCCATTAGTCTGGCTGCCAGAGCTCAGAGTGACATCATTTCATCCCATTTGCTCATGGATGTGCACCCATAACTGATAAACGAGCTCACTGTGTGATACCACTAGCTGTAAATATTTAGTGTTTTATATTTGCGATACTTGTTGTGAAACATGATTATTTTACAAGCCTGCTTCACAGCTTGAATTTCATTGCCCTTTTAATTAAGGTCACCTCCCAGAGGGAATGATTGAAATCAAAGGTAGGTTTTGAAAACAATATAGCATTTGTCATTTATATTATGAAACTAAGGTGAGAAAAAAAAAAATAATAATATATATATATATATATATATATATATATATATATATTAATTGGATTTCTATACACATTACCAGGCTTCAACTTGCATAAAATGTCGATAACAGTAAAAAAAAAAAAAAAATTTTTTTCCAGCAATTTAGCATAAATTATATATGATATGTGATCAAATTTAATGGTAGTTAAGTTAAACAAAAAAAAAGTGGAAGACTATCTTCCATTATGTCCATGTAATAAAATAACAGTAGGCTATACCATGCAAATTAATTTTATATGACAGTGAAGAAGCAAAGAATCAAAAATAAACACTCTGCTAATAAATGATAAAGTTTTTGGCTATTTATCAATAAAGTTGTATTGGGATAGGTCTAAAACCAGATATTCAAACTCATTTTTATATCAGGTCACTTCAGCATCATCAAGTCTCTAAAAGGGCCAGATGCAGCTAAAGAAATTCAACTTTTGATTTCATTCATTTAAAAAAAAAAAACATGCTGCTCTGATGTTATAAACGTACCCCCATTTATTTTACAGGTTGCTTCTTTCAGGGTTTTTTTTTTTTTTGAATAAAAAAAAATAGCAATTTCAGCCACTCTGTGCTGTTAAAAATAAATTTATCACAATTTCATGACTTGATAGGCCTTTATTCTTGCACTTTAGTGCTGGAAAAAGTGCCATGATGGACCATAGTCAGCCTGTAGTTTTACACATGTGGTGTAATAGAAAGCGGTGAGGTAACTTGGTTGTTAAAATGTATTTATATGGTATCTTTTACAGACTTAATTTGCATCAAAAATTGTTGCAGAAAACACATACATGTATATATAAACATTAACACAATAGAAAGTCTGAGGCAGACCATAAAATTAGAAAATAGCGTATGTAAAAATGGGCCAACTACTTGGAACAACCAAATCCTATGTTGTTTAAAATTTGTACGCCGTACGGCTAGAAAAATCTGACCCAATGACCTTAACTGAGGGGATGTTCTGTGAAGCTGGATCAGATCTGAAATGTAAGAGGGGGCTTATCTCTGCAAAGCTCTTAAAGTTCAAATCAGAATTTTAAAGTGAATTTTAAAGTAACCTGGGAGCCAGTGAAGGGAAGCTCTACTGCTCTTGTATTCATGTGGGTTAACAACCGAGCAGCCGAGTTTTGAATAATCTGAAGAAGTTCCTTCTTGTTTGAAGATAGAAATAAGATGTTACAGTAGCTCAAAGGAGATTAAATAAAACCATGAATTGATATTGCCAACTTGAGATTTTTAACCAGAAACTTCCCAGTTTTGAAATATTCCTAGAAGGAAATAACATTTTCTGCTCAATTGCTTTATTGCTCTACAGACATTTCAGATTAAAAACTGACACCCAGGTCTATAAGGCTGGACTGAAAAGAGTAAATTATGAAGTCAGTATTCTGCCAAAAGTCCACAAGCATGATGAATATTCAGTTGTAGTTTTATTTGAAACACATGCTCCTAAACTAGTCTCCATGCACATTATAAATGTTTTATGCAGGCAGGATAAGGCCCTCAGTGTGTGAAAATCATGAGGTCATACTACTTTAGTGTGCCTTCTTTCTTTCTTCTCTCCCACTCAGCTGTGGACCTGGTTCTGTTATCATGTCAACTTTTGTCCCTTTGAGGGAGGAACCAACCTGAGAAAATAAACCGTCTGTTATTGGCTACTTTTAAGGAAATTCTTCCTCTAAGGTTTGCTTCTTAGTTGGCGAGTAATATCAGCAAAGCATCTTTAGCCTAACCAGTGTTCCCCTAACAAAGTTATAAAGTCTTTAATTGAAGTCATCATTAAATACCTTTGTTTAATACAGTCATTAATGCGTTCTCACAGCAGTAGCAATATGCTCTGAAATAATTAATATTAAATTAGGAACTTTTTATGAGCTAAGCTAACTTTTGGTTCACTGTTTGGGGCAGGAATGAACTCTTGTTTATGGCTAAACAATAGGGTTGCCAACCATCCCTTGAAAAACGGAATTGCTCCTTATTTAAAAATAAAAGTACCTGTCCTGTATTTAGTGGAAAAGGAACGCACTTTTTCGCGAATTACTGTGAGAGTTAAAAAAAATAGTCAGTAAAAAGCTATTGGAAAATAAAGGGCTCGTTAGATACAAATCTTACGGTAAACTTGTTCCCGAGACCCTGTTCTGCGTTGTGACCAATGAGCTGACGATCCAAAATACCCTCTAATTTAAATGCTGACGCTGCTTTTGGGAGTGGTGCACCTTCGACAAATATGTTTACAAGTTTGCACAAGTTTGCTGTTGCACCAAAAATATGCACTATTTATTTATTGTTTTATCAAAATTTTTTACAGTTCGAAGTTAAGCAGGACAGGCTTATGTTTAAGATACTTATTTTATTCAGCAAAGTTTATTTTGTATTAAAGTGAATTGCTTGATAATGATTTGTTTTTCATAATCTCATGTCTTTCACAGATATGCATCTAATTCGATGCAGATTTGAGTAAAATAGTTAAAATATAATAATTTCACACACAAAGAGGGGGTATAAAAAAAAATTACCACGCCAGAAGGGGTAAAGGCAATCGGTCAGCTGGCACGCACGTAAGCGGTCCCCTTTTTATTTTCAGGGAGTTGGGAACCCTACTAAACACAGACATTTGCATTTCTTATCAGTTTGCATTTTTTCTTTAATTCCAGCATTGTTTTTATGAAATTCTCAGTGGATGACAGAGATGGTCAGATACAAAGTCAGACTCAAAGAGAACAGCTAGCCCGAAGATGCAAGCTGCAACTAGGAGGAAAACAGTGGATGCAGAATTTCCTGAAAAGTAGCCAAACACAAGCAGTTTATCAGGTTGGTTCCACCTTTAAAGTGAGAATTTACAAGCACATAAAAAGCAAGAAGAGCGCAGAGAAGCATGCAGCCATGCTTTTGATATTCTGTATTGGGTGCCGTCTGATACTGAATCTTTAAGCGTGAAACTTTCAAAATACTAGATTACATGCATTTGTTTTAAATAAAAATCCTCGCATCAGTAATTCTTTGCATTTTTGACAGAATTCTGAGTTTATATTAAACAAACAGAAACTGTGTATTTGGTTAAATCTTATTTTCAGGGGGAATCATCAAGGGTTCATTCTTATTTGAGTTAAGCTAGAATTAGTTCACATTTATTTAGTGTTAAATATATGACAAATGAAAGGACTTTGATTTATGAAACTCTCTTTAATTAAATGAACAGTAGAGCTGTATGCGTCTCAACTGTTAAATAAACAGAATACAATAGGCCCTAAAACAGGGCCCTGGGGTGCACCACAAGACAACTTGATAGTTTCTGACATATCATTGATAGAAAAACTATAATATCAGTTTGAAACGTATGATGAAAACCATTTGAAAGCAGATAATACAATCCTTATAATCCAATAGGATTCCAGGAGTAGGGGTATGGTTGTGAGGTACCGTAAATAATTTTCCTTTGATTCGGTTTATTGAATGAACAATTCAAAACAATGCGATAGAGCTTAGAAAGGCAGAAAGGCGGGGGGGAGTGGAACACTAAATTTAAGTATTCATGAGCATATTTCTCACAAGCTACAGTATATCAGCAATGATCCCTATGAAAGTAACTTGAATAAAAACAGAATTGAAATTTATTGCTGTGCAGCAATCATAAATCTGCCTGGGGAACGCAGACGCATCCCTCACCGCCACCTCAAAAGCTTTATTAGAAGGAGCCATTTTACATTTGAGCATTTTACAGCATTCTGCCTATTAATTCCCACATAAATATGTATTATTCCAGACACAAGGAAATGCAGCGCAGGCTCCAAACCACAAGGCTTTTTTGAAAACACACATTCATTATCTACCCTTTTCGGAGAGATGTAAGATAGGACATACACGCCTGAATAGCTATGGATCAGGAGACATTTCTAATATTTATCCCCACCCACTTACACTCACACACTTTAGAGCTTTCGAGAACTGTTACATCTCAAATGTCCTCCAGTCCCATTTTATCTGCTTTAATTAAATTAAATGTCATGAAACTCTCCGCTTGTCTCAACGTTTCCCCCAGTGCGATTGGTCAGGACAGGCTCAACATCTCCTTTAAAGGAATCCACCCTCAGCCCCCCTGCAACACGATAACACATTGCTCTGCTCTGAGTAAAAACATGGGGTGAACACATCAAATTTGCACCAAGCCGCCAGCTATCGGCCGCCTGCTTGTCTCATCCGCTCCAAATAGGCCTGCGTTTATTCCCTGTCTTTTGCAAGAAGAAAAGCCAGGCCACTTCTACCTGTGTAATTCACAGCTGGGGTTTACAGACAAATATATTGCAGGGCTTGATGCAACCGCAAGATTGCTCAATGAGACATAAAGTGAAGCCCCCACGCAGCCAGGCGGGCTTTGCAGGAGCTCTTGTCCAGGCGCCTCGGGGCATTGTTTTTCGTGCGGCTGCTCCAAGCCGTCACACAGATGGAGGCCGGAGGCTGCCGGAGGGAGGAAGGCTGGGTGGGAGGAAGGGGTAATGCAATTGCTTTTCTCAGCACAGGTCCCTCTGGCAGCAGACAAACATCTCTGAACCAGCCAGGCAGCCTGTAATAAGCAACAAGGCTGGTGCCACTGATTCCACTGTGGCTTAGAGGCCAACTGGAGTGCGACACGAGGCCACGGTTGAACATTTCAAGGGTTGGAATTGCAAAAAAAACAACAAAAAAAAAACATCACCAAACCCAGTTTGTGTGTTATTTCTAACGGATTCTTTCATATGTTGTGAAGTTTAACAAACATCCTAATTGGTTATGTTTCCTGGATTTTTTTTCCCCTCCCTGTCTTTCTTTGTGTAAGACCTGAGAAAGAACTTTGAGGAGGAGCCACAGGGTAAAGAGGTTGCATTGGACCAGGAGGTGTTACTGCGCTGCCATCCCCCCGAGGGAGTGCCACAAGCTGAGGTGAGACACAGATACACATGATATTTATAGGCTCACATCTAGCATCATTTTACTCTTTCCTCTCCAAGAGGGGCAGTGGGGGCGGGGGAAAAAAGTGACTCTGCTGCATCTCTATGCTTTCCACAGAGAAAAACCATCCATATATGGATAAATTACACCTCTAATTATTCCCTGTTATTGATTTATGATCTCTTTTACATCTCTGAGAAGCGATATATCACATTTTCTCGTCACATCACTCAGCTCAGGCTCCGAGGCTTCACTCCCCATTTGGCATCTCTAAAGGCCCCGTCCATAATGAATGGCTCTATTTGTCTCACTCTCTCCTTATCGCGTTCTGTCTCTCTCCTCTCTTGTTCTGCTTGCATCGCTTTCTCTCTCCTCTCATATTCTGCCGGTGTGTGTTTAGAGGGCCAGAGTGGTGCCAGCTGTTTCACCTCATGTGCCGCATCCTCCCCGGTCCCAGATAGGCACTAACTGCTCTAATAACAACACAACAGGAGCTTAGGCTGCTAGCTCAGACAGCCCAGAGACGAGAGACGGCAGACAAGCCAATCACAGCTCGACAGAGCAGGGACCGTTTGGAGAGAAATGGGAAGGAAGGTGCCAACCGCGGTTCAACAGAAAAGAACATCAGAGCAGAAGTCACCGCAGGAGAAAAACAGAGATAGTGCTCGCAAAAGGAAGAAAGCCCAATTATACGCCGTATCGCAACTGGCAGTAATACCAGCAACAATGCTGCCACACCATCGCTTCTCTGGAGACGGCAAGGGGTCAAGTGAGAGCAGCAAAACAAGCGAGCCGGTCCGTGAATACACCAGGACAGGAATAACTTCAATTTTGGCTTCTGCAAAGAGAAGCGGAGGCACTACAGAGCATGATTGGCTTTGCTCACAGACCACCAGCAGCTGCAAAATAAAAGCAGCTCTCTTCACAGTGAAAAAGTAATATATTTTCAAATCAACGGAAAGTTGGTTCAGAGCACCAAACCACTTTAAAACCTTAAATTCCCCTTGTTTTGCATGTATCAACGTGTGGCGGGTTTTAACTGAGGAAATGTGTTTTCCAGGTGGAGTGGCAGAGGAACGAGGACGTGCTCGACCCAGTGAGCGACCCCAATTTTTTCATCACTCCTGACCACAATCTTATCATCAAGAAAGCCCGCCTCGTGGACACTGGCAACTACACGTGCCTGGCCAAAAACATCGTCGCTCGACGCAAAAGCAACTCCGCCACAGTCCTCGTCTATGGTAGGGGATGATAACTTCTTCTAGCAGATGTTAAGACAGCAGTCTGGGACAGATTTGCTTTAATTTATGCAAACCAAAAAACAAAACAAAAACAGGAATTATTTGTTTACTTTCTTCTTGTATTCCATTGTATTACATTTCCACATTAACCTCTTTGTCCTCCCATGGATGAAACATACCTAGTTGCAGGTTTTCTGTCAATCATGAAGTTACAGTGCTCACAAAATATTCTTATCCCTTGAACTTTTTGTCATGTTGTTGTGTTATGACCTCAAACTTCTTTGTATTTTTTCAATCTCTTATTTGATAGAGCAACACAAAGTAGCGCAATTGCTGAAAGACTTATATTCAACCACCTTAATATACACTGCAAAGAAAGTCTAGAAATAAGTAAAAAAAATAATCTTAAATTAAGTGTATTTACCTTTAATTTGAGTAGGAAAATAAAATGATTTGCCAATGATATGAGCATTTTAACTCTCAAAATAAAAAAATTGATAGTATGCACTTGAAATAAGAAAAAGTGATTGCTTTTTTCCTTTTTCTAAAGTAAACTTTCTCCATTGGCAAAGTGTCTCACTTACCTCCTCAATTCAAGACAAACTCCATCTGTTTTAAGAAAAAATGACTTTAGATTTACATTTTTGCAGTGTATGTTATAATTTATAAACCACCAGGTGCATCTGCAAGTGATTTAAAATCTGTTCCTACCAGCTTTCCAGGTATGGAAATCTGAATTCCCCTAAATTATTAACTGAAGGTTAATCAGACAACTCAGAATTTAGCCCCATTTGCATATTTTTAATTCTCTTTCTACATATTTTCTTAAGATCTAATTCTACACTTTGACTATCCACTCTAACGCTAATAATCATGTTTAGATTGTAACTCTGTTTGTTTAGCTTCTCTGTCCTTGAGGAACAAAAATCTTGCTAAAAGTTTAAAGTCTATTGCAACTATTTCACTCTCAAATTTCTGCAAGAGTTGTATCAGTCCAGGAGGTTTATATACAAGTTTGAGTTCATATTTCTGCAGTTCGTCCAGAGTTATTCCCTGCAGAAGTTGGAAGTAAATCTAAGAGAGTACATATTTCTTGAAAGAAACTTTTAGTTTTTTTACCTTGGTTTAAGCAGCTAAGTGAGACTATTTGCCAATGGAATAAGATGATTAATGTTTAAAATAAGAAAAAAAACTCCATGTTCTTATTTCAAGAACATAATATCAAATTATTTTATTTTAAAGGCAAAAATACTCATTCCACTGGAAAAATATCTGATTTACCTTTACAAGTTAAGGACAAGGAATGACTATTTTAAGTTTTTTAGCTTATTTTAGATCAGTTTTTGCTGCGTGACTCCTCGTCATGATCTCTTCCAAGTTAATGTGGCCTGTCAGTTTAGGTAGGAGGCCATACCTCAGTAAATTTAAGGCTCAATTATCTATCAAGTCATGGATAGAACAGAGAGGTTTGGATTTCTCTCTGTAACTTGACAAACAGTGGCAAAGTTCAAAGGGTATGGATACTTTTGTGAGCCACTCTGTGTCCATATTTTGTTTTGCATTAAATACAAACCAGAGTACTATAAAAGAGTGACCTATGGTTGCAGCTTGGCCTGTCACCTCTATATTTTTTAAAGAGCAATAAATTACTCTACTACATCCGGACGTTAATTAGACCAAATTAAATGCTTCTGGCAGCCAGTCCTGCAAAAGCTGGCAATGTTGGACGTCAGGGCTGCCATCTTCCCTCCTTCTCTGTCCTAAATCCACTAAAAGAAAAGAAACTGAATTAACAGCAAATACAAATAATGACTCTGCCTGATAAGCCCAGTGACCTTTATTAAAATGCAGAGAAACCCCATATTTGTTATCACAGAGGGTTCCAAGCTAAGCACACAATAGAAGCATCCATACATTACAGGCCATATTTATTCTCTGCTGGGTACAAATGGGACAATGATACCTCATGGGAGTTACTCACAAAACTGCTTTATGAATGAAAAAGGAATATTTAGAAACACATAGGTTGTTCTTGTTCTGATTTCCCAAAAACACATAAAGCGGTGGGGGCTGGAGAGCTGAGAGAACTCAGCTAAAAACTGACAGCTACTCAAAATTCCCTCTTTTTTGTTTAGTGTTTAAGACTGTTTGAAAAAAGAAAAACACCTAACAGGTTCATGGAAAAGCTGTGTGTGGAAAAGTGTGAAAGTTCATGGCCAGTGAAATGTTATGCCTAATCTAAAAGACCAAAATGCAGTTGGTTATGATAACATCAGGCTATAAGCTTCCTTACTGATAGCGTCTCTTTTGAGCCTAAATAGAACCTCAGCACCGGGTGATATGAGCTGACATTAAAAGATGTGGCGCCATCTACAGGCAGTACCACTGAACTACTAGCAAGCCAGATTAATGCAGCTACTAAATAAAGTCCCAGCCATGCTGTGATGACTCCAAGAAAACCGACAAATCGAAGGATAAGCGTTGCTAACACCAGTAGCCCCATTAGCCATTATTGATCCCTCTTGGAATCAAACATCTTCTGCCTTTTTACACTTGGTCTTGGACTTTTTTAATCTTAACTACACTGGGAGTTCTACACTTCTTCGCCTCCATTGCTTCAACTTGTTGACCATTTGTACGTATGTGCAGTAAGGTAATCCTGCTAATAGGATGTCGTCATGGTAAATATACACAGGAAGGCTATATTTACCTATATTTACTAACAAACTGAGCAAAAACAAAGCTTAAAAGACAAAAAATGGTAATTGGCCTGTACTTATATAGCGCTTGTTCAAGTCAGGAGACTTGACCAAAGCGGTTTACACTACATTGAGTCATTCACCCATTCACACACACTCACACTGATGGTGGCAAGCTACATTGTAGCCACAGCTGTCCTGCGGCTCATTGACAGAAGCAGGGCTGCCGTACACTGGCACCACCAGGCCCTCTGACCACCATCAGTAGACAATGCAGGTGAAGTGTCTTGCCCAAGGACACAACGACACTGAAAGTCGGAGCCGGGGCTTGAACCGTCAATCCTTCAATTTCAGGGCTAACTCCTACACCCAACGCCACTGTCGCCCCCCAAAAAAATAACAGATATGCCACTCACGATCCTATAATTACTCATAGTGTTGTATAAAGTTGAAAAATGTCAAGTATGTCGCCATTAAAGTAATCAGTTTTTGTTTTTGTTTGTTTTTTTACTTTGTTAGTTGTTTTCCTTCGATTCTGGAGAAATTAACGATTTTAAATGGGCCAATAAGACTAAATGGCCATTAAAACACCTAAGTCTATTTATTTTTGAGCCGCTGTGTCCAGTTTTGGCTCATACTGATGGCTTCCTCTTTGACTAGGAAACTTGCAGACTTGTTATGGTTTATGGCTAAAAATGTGCTACATTGGTTTCATTTGTTCAAAAATTGCTCCAAAAGTTCACTGGTCTAGTGAACAGAGCTGCAACTTTATGGAGCTTACGCTTTCTCTTGGCAACTTTTTCCTACAAATCATATTTAATGATTGTTCTAACTGTGCTTAGCTAAACCTTAATAACTAATAATTAGTGTCTGCAGTCTTAAACTGATGATTGCAATGTCTGACCCTGGAGTGAGTTTGCTAAAATGTCTTTGCAGCAGTGGCAAAATGTCGAACCTGTTTTAACTCATGAAATATGCCTTTCTATGCAGATGGATGGACTTCAAATCATTTAAAATGAATTTATAGATTCGCAGATTGATATGCATCAACAGTTGTCTCTCTAAGGGCTTTGCTGACGTGTAGTTTCTGCTCTACCTATTAAAAGTAATGGAATCACAGACGGTGTATGGCTTTTCAACCCACAGCTTTTCCATTTTGGCAGTATTCTTTATTATCAAATGATGAGCCTGGTTTGCACATTTAAACAGTTAAATCTGGACAGCTTGCTACCTTGTAAAGATTATGTTTATTATGTCATATTAAATAGTATCCCAAAAAATGAAATAGGATCTAATGTCTTTTTACAACAACTATTTTTTCTTAATATTATTTATATATAAATATATTTGGATGCATATCTATTATGATTTGTCCTGCTCTAAAACAACATTTATTTAATGTTGAATGTTAATTCACACCATTTTTTTAATTTTTAAGTGATTTAAATTTAGTTCAAAAGACGCTTGAGTAAACCTTATGTTTGAAGAATTAAAAGACAGCACAGGTGGAGCACGAGACACACTTTGCCAACGAGTTCTCTGGAGTTACAATTCTGAAGGACAAATAAACACATCCTCACCTCCCTGAAGGTGTTGCTTTGGCAGATTTCTATGTGAAAAAAAGTCCACATTCTGCAGATATACTGTGGATGTGTGCGTATGTGTGTGTTTGAAGCAAATATGTCAACACAAAAACAGGTGACAGCAATTTGAGGTGAGCTGTGTTTTTATCGTTCACACATATGGGCTGCCATGGGCAGGTGGAAACACAACACCAGAGAAATGGATTTCTGCAGAGAAATACAGCAGAACTTGCTGCACTTTAGACCTTTTAATGATACAGAATTCTGCATAATAACTAATATAATAATATAATTTCTTCACCTTTGGTTGGAACAACAATAATTAAACAAATAGTAGGATGTGTTCCATTTTTTTAAGATCATAATATTCAATAAAGTTGCAGTTTAATTTAAGGAGGATGTGATTCCTGTCATTGTAGCTTTATGGTAAAATCTCAGTAGATCTTAGTTGCTTTATGTTGGTAAAACAAGCCTCTGTGGATAAATTAAATTTTGAAATGTTATTTTTGTTTGAAGTAATGCCCCCCAAAACATAAAAAGAATTAACAAGAAAATAGAGTTGTCTCTAAATTTATATGTATGTTGAGATGAACTCACCCCCATATTTTGTCCTTCACCTCTTAAAATATTCATATGATGTAAATCTACCACCTGACCAGCAGAGTGTTAATCCATTGTTCTTTAAATATGATATCCAACCAATTAGCAGTCGTTAACAATTGCTGTGATTGAATTTCAAATTCGATGTCAATCCCCAGGAAAATATTCAATAGTCTCCAAGGTAGGAGATAAAGAATGAAAATAATTAAAAGCATAAAAAACATTTTCATTAACATGAGAAACCTGACCATATTTGAAGGTTGTTTGGGGAGTTTTTTTTTTATTTGTAAATCAGATTTCAATAATTCACAGTAGCAAAGATATACAAGCAATAGTATTCCAAACAGTATCAAAACCATGTTAGTATCAGTATTGTATCCAGATACAGCGTTAAATATTGCTACTTTTCAGACTATCGATTTTTTCCCCACAACCCTACTGTGATCACAATGTCCTGTGGAGGTTAGAGCCCCATTCACACTATCCTTTTGAAACCATGTCGGGATTGGTCCGAGTATGGTAACCGAGATGACTGTTGAATGTAAATGGCACGAACAACTGAACCAGACCGTGCCAGACACAACCGAACCATGCTAACATGGTACTAGTTCATCAGTAGGGCTCGGCGCGGTTCAGTTCTGGCTCGTTTCTCAGATAACAAAGAGCGCATGAGCAGATGGCGTCATCTCCTCACAATGGGCCATCATAATCCTGAAATTTCACCGTAGTTAACCAAGCTCCGCACGGTTAACTACGGTGGCCCTGAAGTGCAAACTGCAACTACAAATCTAAAAGCGCAACTACATTAAGGAAATTGCAACTACATAAAGCAAAGCGCAACTACATTAAGAAAAACAAAACTACATAAAGGCCGTTTGACCCTTGAACCGGAAGTCATTCTGCCTGCTGCGGCTTTTGAAAACATGGATACTAACTGAAATTTCGTGATTAGTCTTGAGTATATCCAGTATCACCTCGTACGTATGTCCTGATTCAAAATATTTCTGGATAACGGCAGCTATGTTTGGGGCGCCGACAGTATCCATGTTTTCAAAAGCCGCAGCAGGCAGAATGACTTCCGGTTCAAGGGTCAAACGGCGGCGTCGTCCAATCAGCGATGTCTCATTTTTCCCCACTGGTGCCTACCTTTTCCGGTAGGTTAATGTAATTGTGTTTTCCCTAATGTAGTTCAACTTTGCTTTATGTAGTTTTGTTTTTCTTAATGTCGTTGCGCTTTTAGATTTGTAGTTGCAGTTTGCACTTCAGGGCCACCGTAGTTAAGTGATCCAATCAGCATGGATCGGTTTAAGAGGCTACTGTAAATGGGGCTTAAGTCTCATTCAGTTCTTTCACATTATTTCCAACTTAAAACTTTTTTGGGCAGATGTATCAGTGACATCAAGGGTTTCCTCTTTTAGTGGATGAAAAAAACTCTAAAAGTTATAGAAATACTTTTTAAAGAAAGTAAAAGTGGTTCTGAAGTGAAGAATTAATTTACAATCTGAATGCTTTCAAAAGAAAAGTGTTGATTGTGTGCACATGGTTAAACCACAGGCATAAAAAAACATAACAGGGGCGCAAAATATATCTTGTGTTGATTGTAACTGATCAGATTGTTGTTAAAGGGAATATAGTGCTGTATTTACTGGGGAGGCGAGAACGTTAAACCTCCCATTGTTCTTTATAGTGGCCTAAAGCGGTTGTTTTCATTCAGTGGTCCAATGAATTACGTACGAATGATGCAGGAGGCCATTTTAGAAACGTCCCTCTCGTTTTAATGCGTACTTGATAAAATGACTCATATTAGCCAAGGATAAATGAGAGGAAATTGTTTCTTTTTCCTTGGTTCTGGCGTTCCTCTAGCTTTACCTTGAAGTAGACCGGTTTCCTTGCAGCATCTCTGTCCACCTTTTTATTTAATCTACCTAGCGGTAGCAACTGATAATAACTTCTACTTTTCTAAGGCAGCTCAACAGGAGGGATGCATTTTAACAAGACCCGGCTGGTGTGACTGCACTCTGTGCTAAGAGGTAATCAGAGGCCGAGTTGCCTGGCAATTTACCTCGCTGTGGCGAGCAATCAATTGCATAGAGAGGGCAAGGAAATGATTCAGCCGCGACAAGCGCAGAGAGTTAAGGGGAAATTACGAAGGGAGTATGTACAGAGAGGCAATGACAGTGCCGCTCAGGTCAATAAATCAGGAATCTGTGTAGCTGATCGGCTGAAGGAAACACAGGAGATGATAGGGGATAGAAGAAAAAAAAAGCTGAATGATTTGATGTAATCACCTGTCATGATTGAAAGGTGCTCTACAGCATCAGTTGCATCATAATTGACACTTAAAGTTTAAAACAACAGCAGGGGGTCAATAAAGAGCTGCAGTAATAAAGTTTGGGTGTTTAAAGTTCATGAAAAGCTTTGTTGAAATAAAGCTGCAACTTTTTAAACAAAATGTAATTATTTAAAGTATTCACTCCCCTTTACATAAAATTCACAAATTTACATGTGGTTTCATTTGAGTTTTATTTGACTGATCAACACCAACCTGCGGCGGCGGTCATGTCCTCCGACTTGTCAAGCGATGTAGTTGAAACCTCGCAGCAGCTGACTTGTGAAAGGTTAAAACCGCGTTGCTGCTCAAGTGTGTGATGCAGCAATTACAGACAATCTGGACGCCCAGCTGGCTGGAAGATTTAAGGCAAAATTCAGAGTCTATCACGGCGTGGTGCGTATCTGACTCGCATCATTTCTCCCAAGAAATGCGTGTTGGACAAGTTCAGCTGACATGCATGAAGCTTCCTATTCTATAGCTATAGTCACTGCATTATATAACACCAGCAAGGTGTAAGAGGACGCTGATGTTTTTTATGTTTCAGTAGCTTTCTGACTCTTATTCCACTTCAATCTGTGAAAAAGGATTGACATTTGTTAATGTGACATAACTAAATTCTAAATAATTCTAATGACTATAAAAATAGTTTTCAGGGGGAATTTTGGTTTAAAGAAATACTTCATTAATATGTTACGCTTTGCAAACAGAAAATGGTTTTTATTCTTCTTTGACCATGAGCGTTAAAAAGCTTATGGAAAGCATAGGGAAGGATAAATTTGATGAAATGTTCAGGTACTGTGTTGTCTTCAGACATGCAGTGAAATGTGGCAGGTCGTCTGGTTATTTTCTGCTTCCTGTTGAGTCATTTTGTTTTCACTGCATTTGGCTGTAATTCGAGCACACATGCAGGCAGCAGTCCCCCCCCCCCTCTCGTGCTCCTCCATGTGTTCACCTTTCTGCGCGGAACCCAGCCGTGCGAAGGCAGTCACGATTTTTCAAGTGTAGCGCACCTGATTTCATTTCTGCATGTCGGGTAAACCTGGCTGCTCTGTCCCTTCATCCATCCCTCCCTTCCCTTCATCCAACCTTCCCATCTTCCTTACCCAATACCCCCCCCTCCCCTCCCTTCCTCTCGCAACCGTGCTGACAGTCAACGGCGGCTGGTCCACGTGGACCACCTGGTCGTCCTGCAGCGCTGTGTGTGGGCGTGGCTGGCAGAAGAGGAGCCGGAGCTGCACCAATCCGACCCCACTGAACGGAGGCACATCCTGTGAGGGGCAGAACGTCCAGAAAAGTGCCTGCGTGGCCACCTGTCCAGGTAACTCCCTGGCAGCCTTGTTTGTCCTGTGGCGTTGGCTCCTCATGGCTTCCTTTTATTATTTTTTTTGCATTTAGATGTCATCAAACCTCTTAGTTTTTTTTTTTGGTGTTTTTTTTTTTTTGCCTGCCTTTTTGCGCTGTGCCTTTAAGTAGTTGTTTTAGATGCCAAGCTTTTGTGGCCTTCTGCAATTAGATTGCTTGCACAGCGATTTAAAGCTACTGTTCACATCATCATCTGCACTGTGTGTAGGCTCCGTTTTTATTTCAGCTCCCAGCTCATAGACACAGCTTTGGCTTTGTGTCACATTCATAAGTGCATTTTGTTATTATGTCCTGTTCAAGCTGCTACTTAATATGTGTGGTAAAAAGCTGAGTTATGGGAGCTTGCTTGTCATGTTTATGCGAGAGGAGTTAAGAGGAATTTCATTTGCTGCTTCACTCTCCCCTGTGTGAGCATCTGAGAGGCAAAGAGCGTCGTGGCTGATAGTGAGCAACACTTATTGATCTCTGGGAGCCTGAGATGGAAGTCAAGCTGCCTCATTTGCTGCTTCACATAAGACCTCCTGACAGGGGAGTGAGCTGGACAGGAGAATGGAGGTGGAAGGTGGGATAGAAACAGGTGGAATCAGATATAACGTAAGAAAGGAAAGGGGAGAGACTCTGGCAGCGGAGCAGGGAGTTTGGCTGACGGAGAGTTGGGGCCATGCTGACCACAGGAGTAATCTCCCACGCTCTGTAAATATCAGAGAGGGAAATACAACACCTTCGACAAGAGAGGAGGCTGCTTCTTCTCGCTGCCTAAATCCGAGGCTATCTTCCTGAGCAATCAGGGTGTTGTGTTACGCATCTCCCATGTTAAGACATCACTACATGTCAAGGATGAGTGTAAGTAACATGGCCCTCTGGAATACAGCAGGAGGAGGAAGACAGAGGAAACACAAACGCTCGACGCAGCGTCGGGATGTGAACGGAGTCTGAATTATCGGAGCTGGAGAAACTAGTAATGGAATTAGAATTAGAGCGGTGCCCGGGGATGCTTGACATTCCTCCACAGCAAAGCAGGCTACTGACCTCCATGAGCTTAAAGAGATTAATGTCAGTCCAAGCTGCTATTGTTAGACCAAACCGCTTCCTCCTTCATCTTTCTCCTGCTCCTCAAGGAGAAAGAGCGTAATTCCCACCATAAGGAGGCTGTGCCAAAAAAGAAAAAAAAAATTGCATTGTGTCCACAAAATATATTTTTACAGAGACTTTCAGGAGAGAAAGAAGTCATTTTTTTTCTCTTGATGGGAAATGCTAGGGCAACATGACCCCACTTACACCTGTCAGTCCTGTTGTTTGGCAACAGAACAGGGGCTCAGACGGGTTTTTTTTCTTCACATTTACCCGTCTGAGCTGGTAACATCAGTAGCACTGACGGACCCGGCTGTCTGTAGCTGGCCGGAGGCTGCAACATCGGGGACGTGAACGCTGAACTGTTTATTTACAAGGAGCACCAAGACCCTCATGTATGCAGTGAGATAAACAAGTACTCGTTTTTTTGTTTTGTTTCTTTTGCTGATAGACATTCAGGGTCCTACATTAAACCTATTTTTGATTCAACAGCCAAATAATCTTTAAATGGATGAATCATGAGCCTGGATGCATGACCAGACCACTGGCAAATAAGAGTTGCACACAGGATGGAGCAAACCTTGCGTTGTGTGAGAGAGGGAGAGAGTATCACCACTTACTGCAGAACAACTTCAATTATCGCTGTGCTTCTAGCCTTCACAGGTCTAGATAGTGATTTAAGTCCATCTCAGAAAGAGACTTGAGAGGAGCAGATTGCATGGAGAGTTGTAACGTCGTAGATAGACATCATGTTATTTATTCAGACACTGCTGACATTTGGAATCAGAAGTAGTGTTCTTTATTTTTTTATGCCAGCCTTGAGAGGTTGTGTTTTCTTTTTTGTTTTTTTCCCCAGCTGCTTTGTTTTTGATTTCCTTCGTTAAAAATACATGATTTAATGCTGGTCTGGTTTCAAGACTTCATTAAATAGCTAAACTTGAAGTTTGTTTTATTACAGTGGGGAAAAAAATTGAAATATAGATGTAATTTTTTTCTTAAAATAAGTGCATTTGTTCTTTAATTGAGGAGGCAAGAGAGACTTTGTCATTGGAACCAGACAATTAACATTTAAAATAGGAAGAAAAAATTTTGTATTGCCTTATTTCAAGGGCATATTATTTAATCGTCTTATTTTAAGAGTAAAAATACTAATTCCATTGGCAAGTCATCTTATTCATTTTATAGTAAAACCCATCTGTATATTATGCTATTGTACATAACTGTAAAAAGCTTTTTTTTATATAGTAATATCCATCTGTATATTATATTCGGTACATATCCAGCTGTAAATTTAGTTCATAACACTAGTGATCTATATATTATATTCATTATTTATAATAGTATTCATCTCTATACTCATTCAGTAGAAATACCCATGTCCTGTATTTATGGAACCATTATTTATCCTGCACTTGCTGCTATTGCACTTCTGGTTAGACCTAAGCTGCATTTCGTTGCCTTGTACCTGTACATGTGAAATGACAATAAAATTGAATCTAATCTAATTTACCTACTCAAATTATTGGTAATTAGTCTTAATTTAAGAAATGTTGACTTATTTCTAGATCGTTTGTACAGTTTATTAGCTCTGGTGTTTTTACCTTCTTGTACAACACACCATGCTAAGTATTCATACACAGAGATGAGGGATCAGGAGTCAATAAGTCATCTCTATGTCATGTGTTTTTCCTGCCCAGCCACTGAACCAAGTGAGTCCAATCTTCAGAGTGAATTAAACTATGCAGATTGGACTTACCTAGTTCAGTGACCAGGCAAAACAAACACATGATAGAGATGACTTGTTGACTTCTGATTCCCAATCTCTGATCATACCTTGAGCTTCTTTAAGCCTCTGTCACACCTTGCCGATTTAGCCAGCTTATGCCAGACATCGTAGAATCTCCTAAAACGCTGGCGTACGCTGAACTTTCTGTGTGTTTTTTTTATTTGTGAAAGGTTAACAAGATTTTAGATTAATTTAGATGCTACATGTCTAGTTTGTATTAGATTTGAATCTAATACAAACTAGACATGTAGCAATAATTCTAAAAAAATCCTTAACCACGTATGATTTCCCCGATTCCCTTAACGATGTTGAGCTACTTTTATGCTCAACTGTGACAATAAAAGCCACTGAAATTAGCAGAAAGTTTAACCAAGACTTTGGTTTCATCACAACAAGAATTCACCACTGCAAACTGAGTATTGTTTAGCCAAGTCTTCATGTGGATTTCTGGTTGATATGCTAAGACCCGGTTGCTCTCACATTAAAAAAGAAGCAGCATTCCCTCTGAGCAGGTCAGCCGCAGAGGCATATTTTTACACACATACATTATAGATCAGCTTCCACAGCCTGGCACCATCAGTAACAAAACTCTCCACACGTCTGTTGCACGATGACTCTTGTGTCTAAATGCGAGCTCCCACCTCTCATTGGAAACGTGCGAAGCCACGGAGGCTCATCTGTATTTTTGTCTGAGTCTCCAAAGTGTTTAATGAGAGTTGGCGGAGGCCTGCATGGCAGATCAGATGGGCTCCTCGCTGAGAGAGACGCAGGGAGCTGTGGAGGAGGCTGAGGCTAAAGCCTGAGGCTGAGAGCAGAGCAGATCAACACTTGAGACAGAGAGTAGCCAAACTATGCTGGAGCTCATCTCATCCCCCCCCCAATCCACTCGCCACCATTTCTTTCCTGTCCTCTTGTCTCCATCCCAGCATATCCCGCTGAAATATCCCACATAATTCAGCAGTCCATCCCTCACCCTTTTATTGACTGTGCCCCTGCACTGACTTGCAGTCAGAGCCAACAGTAGCGGCAAAATGTCAGATCATGCCAACATTTCCAACAAAGACTCACATCTTCACAGCCAACTGCTAGCAGTTAGTCACCCGATATTGGAAGGCAACACAGAGAACCGAGATCCTGCCTGAAAGGAGAGCAAACACCAAACAACCTGAAGAGGTTTATAACTTGAGTGAATTATTTAAAAATGTTAACGATCCTTCTGGCTTTCCAGAGGAGTCGTGAGAATTCAACCCGCTGGAAAAACAAATAGACTCTGAGCTGCAGTGCTTGTGCACGCCTTCCTGTATGTCTGCGTCTGCGCATGGATGAGTCCGACACATGTTCCCATACGTCTCTTTTCTGCACCGCAGGCGAAGGTCTAATTGTTCTTCGGAAGTACGCTGTCATGCGTTTGTTGAAATCCGTTCTGCAGAGTGCAGGTTTTTATCCGCAGAATAAACGAAGGCTGTGGGTAATAAATGTGGCGGCAGAGCGCATTAATTCACTGGGAAAAGACGGTGGCCATCTGGTGACAGACTTGCATCATTTTTAATCATTTGGTGCCATTTGTTTGAGCCCACCCTCCTCCAGATTATATCATTTTGCTTTGGTTTTCTGCTTTAAGCGCCACTGAGTGAGCTAAGCTTTTCTTTAGTTATTATCCATATTAAAGTTGAATGGATTAGATATTAACAAGATGCTGTTTCACCAATGTGCAGAAAAAAGAGGCTTTTATTCCTTCTTTCAATCAGCTTTTGAAGTGTGAACACAGGTGCACCGAATGGACAGTAGAAGCAGAGGGACAACCTGCTGCTCTTAGTGGTACTTGTCCACCTCCCCGTGTTTTCTTCAAGGACAGAATCCGTAGGCGAGTGTCCGTCAGCGGCTATTGTCCTTTTTGAAACACAGAGTCTCAGTGAGGCCTTCCCATTGACCTATAGAGAATGGTCAGATTCTTTTGCTCCTTCGCTTGGCAACATGTCCAAATGGACGAGGGGGTGGGGGGAGGGCTTGCCACTGGGTTATTGTATTACTGTACCTCCTCAGAGACGTTCATGACCTGAAACCTGGGGCGCTGTGAGATTGAAAATCAGCTAAGGTGCCTTTTGCAGTGGAAGTAACAATCTCCTTGTGGGGATTTAAATTGGAAAAACCCTGGCGTTGGGTTAGTTTTTATGTAGAGTTTTTTTAGAAAGGAAAAACATGACATCTGTTAGTTGTTTTCTCTTATTCCAGAGCATTAAATGTTGCGCTTTACTGTCCTATGAATAGCACACTGAGAGATATTTTTTTATGCTTTCTTTCTTGTGTGACATGCAATCAGAGCCAGGCAATCAAAACTGCCCTTCCTGCATCATCATCATCTTTTTTTTTTTTTTTTGGTTCTCACCGGGTTTTGGGTCTCAATGCTCGTCTCACGTCTGCATCCCCTAAGCATAGCTTTTGTGTCCAGGCCTGCACTCTTCGTTAGAAAATGTCATTTGCATGGTCATTAGTTTTGCTTTGTATCGGAAAAAGGAGAAGAAGAATTTCATCATCTAGTCAGGGCAGATGTTGATATCATCTCTTTATTTCACAGCCATGTGGATAAACTGAGGGGCAACATAATATATTCATTAGGATGTAATTTGCTATTCAATCATTTTCATTCCGGGCCCGGACAATGAGCCCACTGGCCCACGGATGGGTCCACTCAATGCCAAACAAGGACAATTATCCGATTGGTTCTGCTCTTCCTGCCAAATTGATCTGACTGCAAAAGAATCCAAGCTATGTCAGCGTCCTCCCCCCCCCCACACACACACACACACCCTCACAGGCACAGGGACGCACTCAAATTTTCTGGTAGTCATCTGATGAAGACAGATTTGGTCAAAATAAAGACCATTTTTATTCAAACAATTTCCCTGATACCCCTTTGCTTTCTTTTCCAAACTAAGATTTGCACACTGAGCCAATTTTTTATACAAATATAAAAGATTATAGCATATTACCTATGTTTTATTAACCAATGGCTCTTGAACTTCTGTGGCTTTCCCTTGTTCTCTTTATTACCCAGATTAATGAACACTAGCCTCTGGTCATTTAGGGGGTAGTAGGGTCACCGCTGTCACAAAGGTGTGCTTCTACTTTTTGTGCGCAGAAGAACGTCATCAGGTCCCCTTCACCCTTACATTTGGGAAAAAAGAGCGAGATAGAGGTGTTTTCTCCCCCCATGAGAGCTCATTACTGCTCTTTTTCCCATTAGCCGAACGGTAACCTTCTCCCGGCCCAGCGCTGTGTCACTCTCAATATCGCTCTCAGCCACCACCTCCAATGGCCACAATGCCAAATTTCCCCCACCGTTGTGAAATGGCCTCCTTCTCTGTGTGAAGAAAAGGCGGCTGATATTTCTTACAGCCGGTCATGCACACAACTATTACTGGCCCATTATCATTTGTCTCATTTTGCAAGTGCTGATGATGGGGCTGTTTGAAGTTGTGACTGGCCTGCAGCTTTAATGTACTCCCTTCTCAGCTCATAATAATACCACCTGTATTGTGTTTTGCGTTACACTGCAGTCGGCATCACAGTTGCTACAGTAACGTCTTGTTCGACTAAGCAATAGAACCAAAGCAGGTTTGTTGCTTCTCCAAAATTTGACTTTTCTCAAGAAATATTGTTTAAAGGTACAGTATCTGGCCAAAGTATTCACACCCTTAGAAATCTGCCCATATTGTTCAAGTAACAATTACACAATTTACATGTTTTAGTGGGTTAATATAACATTAACAGACAGGAAGTTGCGCATTATTGTGGAAGTTTATGAAAATGGTAGAAGTGTGGCATAAGATCTAATAGTACTTAATCAGATTCGCTGTAATTGACTGGCATTCAAAGTCACTTAATGTTGTGTATTATAACAGTCTGAATACATATGTTTTGTGAAGGTGTTAAAAATCTGTTTAAAGGGAATGTTTTTCTCTACACTGTCGCTGCATGCATGCTCAGTATGAGAGGTTGCTGTAGAGTCAATCGCTGCGTTTCCATTGACCATCAAGTTTCGCAAATTCTTATTAAGTAAATATATTCTCTGATTGGAAATACGGCAACTTTGAAAGAAATCACATTTTCAATAAAAGGTCGTTACACTTAAATGGGGTGATTTTTCCGGTCAAATCGGAATTTTTATATTTTGCAAAACTGCAATGGAGTTTTTTTATTTTATTTTTTTCTGTATAACAAGAGTCATGTAATCTGAAACTGGGCCTTACTGCCTTATAACAAGAGGAAAAAGAAAACCAGAATTAGTTGGAGGATGGTGGTGCCCACTAGAGTCGTGAATGAAATATGCATAATCTCATGTGTTTACATCAGACACTGCCATGTTGTTTTCCGAGCTATCGCGTCAACGAATGTATTCATGTTAAATCTTAACCATATTTGTTTTTTTATGGAAATACTGCAAGTGCAAAAGTGTGCATTTTTCAAATTAGCAGAATATCACCATAGTTCTGCGCACACTATAAATGGAAACATAGCTAATGACAATATGCAAGCATATACTGACGCCACATGCTCATCCTGCAGGAGTAAATCCTGCAAAACAATGACTGGATGCAATCAGCTGGTTTTCCTTAAACATTAAACTAGTCTGACTGAATGATTTGATAGAACCGACTCTGTGCCTGGAGATGATATGTATTGTGACTTGGCACTATAGAAATAAACTGATCTAAAGGCACATTAAAGGTTTTATAGATGTTTATAGATGTTGGAGATCGGCCTGTTTTCCAGTGTAGTCCTGTTTCTCTGACCGTGACTGGCTGGATGTGCTCTCTGCTCGTCTGCCTGGCTTTGCTTTTTGTATCTCTGCTTCTGTCTCTTTCAACCTCAGTCAGCCTCAGCAGATGGCCGCTCACACTAAGCCTGGTTCTGCTGGAGGTTTCTTCCTGTTAAAAGGGAGTTTTTCCTCTCCACTGTCGCTACAAGCATGCTTAGTGTGAGGGATTGCATTTGAGTCAATGAGTCGTTGCAATCAACTGGTTTTCCTTAGATAGAAAACTTTGAATCAATTTGACTGGATGATCTGATAAACTGTAAAGTGCCTTGAGATGACATTTGTTGTGGATTGGTGCTATAGAAATAAACTGAATTGAATTGAATTAAAGGTTTTATACAACTTTAAACCAGGTTAAGCTAAAACTATGGCACTTGAGGAGTTCTAGATAGAGCATATTCACAAACATTTTTACTCTAAATGCAAAGTGTTTATATATGCTTTTACAAATCATGCAGTCTATATATTCCAGTTAACGATTAATCTGCTGCTTAATTAGTTGTGGATTTTTTCAATAATTAATTAATCAAATCAATTATTTCGGCCTTTTGTAAGAGAAATTGCAAACATTATGGTGCAGCTGCAGTTTTATCAAATCGGTATCTAGATGTTTAGAGCTGGTAGCCAATACAGGCCCATAAGACCTGCAGCTCTAGTTGTGGAAAAAGGTATTTCTATCAAATATTGACTCATGCAAATGTACTCCCTGCTTTTCAGATTTCACAGTCCTGCATTGTTCTTTTGTTCTTTCCTGTGACTTTACAGCAACATAATAACATTGAATCCTCATAGAATACATTGAAGCTCGTTGTTGTAATGTGACAAAAGGTGAAAAAGTTACAGAGTGTGAACATCTCTGCGAGCCGCTGTATGTATACCTTCATGTGCTTTTAAAGCAGTTTTTCTGTACCGATCTGGTTGGCTGACCAGGCCACAGCACGTTCACACCTCTGGGGTTTATCTCAGTTGCATCTGCTTTACATGTTGAAAGTAAACAAAGAAAGGAGAATAGAAACAAACGTGGCTCTCCTCAGCAGTTTTATTTGCCGTGTTTTTTCCGGTGCCTGTGATGGATGTAAAAAGTACGCACAACTGCATTTGCATGCCTCTCTAGGGCCAGAATTACACTGCATAGCAAGTGGTTTTGCACATTGTATCTACATGTTCTCATCTTACACACCTCCACCAACTTGTTTGCATATGTTTCATAAATATACTTTACTGTGTTTGAATATCTTTCATTGACACTTTCCAGCTTGCTTTCCTTTCCAGTGTTATTCCTGTAAACTAAGTTGTAAAGATAAAGTTTTTTGTTGTTGTTGTTGCCATGTGTGCATATTTTACTTCAGCCATGTTTTAAATGTGTGTGTTTGTAGTGGATGGAGGCTGGAGCGAGTGGAGCAAGTGGTCGGCATGCGGCGCAGATTGCTCGATGTGGAGGAGCAGGGAGTGCTCCCAGCCCTCGCCCGGCACCGGGGGCAAAGACTGCCAGGGGCTCGACCTCCAGTCTATAAACTGCACCAGCGAGCAGTGTCCACAGAGTGAGTTCAGAAACCACCCACACACCACAAAACTGTTGGTCTCACTGCTCAGCGATGGAAGAGATGATGTTCCGGATGTATTTTTAGCCATTGGCATCAGGAACAGGTGATCTCAGGAGCAAGAATGAATTTTAGAGTAAACTCAGAGAATTTATTAAAATTTATAACTATAGTTAAAAAGAGTAAATTAATTAGGGCTGCAAATAACCATTATTTTGCAAATTTTTTCGATTAATCAATTAATAAGCAGTTAGCCAAAGGTTCCTGAAAGAAGTTTTTTTACAAAATTAAATCAGGTGAAACAACCTTTTCCGCTTGATGGGTTCAAGATAGAGAACATTGACAGATAAAAACATTTCTTTATCTTAAATGCAATGTATTGATGCATTTTTTGAGAATTTTGATATAATTAGAGCTCTAAGTGGGTCACTGACAGCTAAAAGCATATCTTATGGTCTCTACTCTCCAGTTAACGATTAATCGATTACTAAATTAGTTGCCGATTATTTGAATAATGCATAAATCACGATTAATTGTCCCAGTCCTAAAGTGAATAATAAAGAATACAAGATACAACAAACAGTAACAAAAATGTTTGGGGTTTTTTTATATTGTAAAAAAAAAAATAAGAAAACTCACATATTTTACCTCAAATTATCTTTGGAAATTTTTTTTTTATATTAGAAGTTCACCTTTTCACTTGGTTGTGTAACCCAGTGTTTCCCAACTTTTTTTTTTACCGCGTACCCTTTTAGGTATTTTGTCCTACCATAAGTACCTCTCAGTCAGCAGTATAAATGACTGCATATGAGTGGGATGTACAAAAACTGATTAGGAATTTAAATTCAAATAAAAACCAACATATATATGTCGCTCTGAAGCTGGTAAGGAATCACAATAAATACAAAATAAAATACTATAAATCTGTCTTTATTGGAACTTTTTTGGGAACAAAAATCATATTCAGACTGACTCCATTTATTTTACTTTGATTTCAACATTCACGACACCTGAGCTGCTTTGATGAGCTCCGATAGCTCCAGCTGATTCCAGGCTGTTCTCTACATCCGTCCGTTCCACTGATTGGGTTTGATGTGTGTCAAAGCTGAAGGTAAACTTAATTTTTGGTTGAAAAAAAACCTTTTTATATTTATTAGTTGGGTGCTCACAACGCAAATCAGCTCCCTGTCCTACTTTATTTTACTACCTAAGAAATAGAATATTTTCATGTACAGTACCCCTTGCAATGCACTCGCAGACCACTAGGGGTACACGTACCCCCGGTTGGGAATCACTGGTGTAGGCCAATGATGTTGATTGAGAGTTTTCAGAAATCTGCTACACATTTAAATTATGCTGGTAAGTTATTTTAAAGTTTAATAAGCTCCCGGTTTAAAACGTGGAACTCAGAACATAAGAGAAAAATAAGGACAATGTAAAACAACAATATGAACTTGGTTTCCAAGGTAGAGTTCCCAGGAAGGTACCCTCCATAGGCAAATCTCTCATAGGTTAGAGACGGAGATCAGTGCAGGTTATAGCATCACTGTGCTAATTACCTCTCCCACCTTAAAAACATTACTTGTTTACCTTAACTCACCCTTAATAAAGAAACAACAGTCTCATCTTGGGACAGACCCAGTCTGTCATTCAACAGTTTTTTCACCAGCTGTCCTGTTCTGGCCTCTCAGGAACACCATAAAGAGAAGTACGTTCCCCTTCGTGTATAGATCTTCAGGTCGATTAACTTCTACTCCACTCTTTTCTGCAGTTTTATATTTTTCCAACATAATTTCCTCGGTGTTCTAAATCCTCCCGTCCACATTCTCAATCCTCTCCTCCGCCTCATCAAGTCTAGCGTTCACCTTTACCAGTTCTTCTTTTTTGTTATTTTCTTGACGAAAGCTTTTAGATTTCCTAAAGGAAAGTCCAACTCTGCCATTGTCTGCCTTTTTTTAGTTCCTTTTGCTCTACTCTGTGTTGCACTTCTTCCTAAGAAGCTAGCGTTCTTTACTGAATCAAACCGAAGTTTAATGGCGTCTGACAAACGTCAGTTGTGGGTTTATTTTTGTCTAACCCCTTCTTTCTTCCTCTGTAGAGGTTATTAGTCCCGAGCAGCCAAGCGCTGCGAAGGCCTATTGTATTTTGAAAGTCTCTTATTATTATTATTATTATTATTAGGGTTCTTTTGGCACTTTGAACGCATTTTACGGAGACTTCGCATATTCAAAAACTCAGGAAAATGTGGCAGTAAATTGTCCCCCGCGTGAAATAGCAGGTCTATAATGGAATCCAAAATGGCCGCCCCCAAATTACGCCACAGCCCCCCGCTTATGTGAGTTGGTGGAAACTGTAAGTCACAGAGATTTGAAATTTGGCACACAGGTAGATCTCCTCAAATCATGAAAAAAAGTCTCTTGGAGGTATGCCCTAAAACCCACAGGAAGTCGGCCATTTTGGCGCGATTTTTGGCCATTTTTCATTTCATATTGGATTTTTCAGGATTATTCATTCATTTCCAGGGTTCCTCAGGAGCTCGTTCACAGCACAGCCATCGTGGTGATGCTCAAACCGGAAATCCTCATCCACACTGTTTTATCTCACTGTTTTATTTCCCTTTCTTTTAATTTTTCTATTTTCTTTCTGCTTATTTCCTTCCTTTGCTCTTCCAATCCTCGCCCTCTCATTTTCTTCTTCCTTTCATTTCCTTTCCCTTAATCTTTTCTCTCCTTTTTTTATTCTTTGCATTGCTTTTTTTTCCTCATTTAATTTATATCTTCCTCTTCCTTGGTTCATTTATTTGCCATATTCCATCTCTTCTTCATTTTTTTTTACTTTATTTAAATCGTTTATTTTTTCTCTATATTTTATTCCTTGTTTCTGTTTTAAGCTGTTCCTTTTGTTATATTAATAACCTGACCTCAATAGAAGCAGTAAATTCATAGTGAACTTCTGGGTCTCAACTTGGAAACAGCCTATAGTTTTCTGCTAATTTAAGTCTTGAAAAGTTTAAAATCTAGTCATGAAAAAACAATGTAATAATCCTGCAGGAGGAAAAGAAAAGGAATAGAAGGCATTTTTTTCTTTATTTATGAATTTTTCCCAGTGTAGAACAAGGGGTAACCCTCCTCCTTTCACTGCATAAATGAAATATTTAACCCTTTCTTTGGGCGTCAGCATCAAGAGATGAATGATGAGTTCATTTCACAAAGGCTTCGCTAAAGAACAGCTGCTTTTCCCTTGAGGTATATTTTCCCACGTGAGGTTCATCTGTGACCCACCGCTGGCTCATCCCCACCTGGGTGACCTTTTCAGGTGATCATTTCTAATTAACACCGGAGTGACACATAATGCACTGTATTACCTCGTGGGTCGGCTCTCTGTTGCTCCCTGACCTATTAATAGAGGTGAGAATTGAAGCATCTCTCCACTGATTAAAACACAACCTGCCAGATAAATGACCACGAGCCAAATGGGCTGTGAAAACGCACATGGCTGGTTTGTCTGAATCCAGCAGGATACTTTTTGGGGTGAGAATGCATTCATGTTGGACTCGCTTCGCTCCCAAGCCAGCATGTCTTAACTTTAATGTATTATTTTACCTCCCCTGTGTGAAATAGGAAAACATGTTTTATTCTGTGTGAGAGTGCAGAGGGTCAGAGTCAGCAGCCGCTCAGAAAGAAGCTCCGCAGGGTCCAACTCTGACCAGATGGACATGAAGAAAGGGCTCCATCATTCCCTACAGATATCAAAGACTGAAACATATTGCAGCTTCCCTTCCAGAGACAATGGGGGCGGCGTCTTGAACAGAACTGACTATAAATAGTGAGCTCTTTGGCCAATCCACATGGTAAACATGGAAATTCCTAATGGGGGATTGAGCGGACTCGGGGTGATGAATTAATAAACTGAAATCTGGTATTGGGTACTGATTGATGTGATCAAATAGACTCAAGCAGAATATCTTCTGAGATCTATTGCGTGTCAAAAGCTGCATTATGTATGGCGCTCTGTAGGCATGGGCTTGCTTTTGTCGAGCAACGGGTGAGTTTGGCTGGGCGCAGTGATCCCAGGCAGCTCAGTTGGCCAATCATCAAAGGTCAGCAGCTCCTCCTCAGAGAGACAGGAAATATACACAAAGATGGCCGTCATTGTTCCTCTGTTTCCCCCCGCAGTCGCACACCGAGCGGCGGAGTATTTATACCGACAGTGTGGAGCAGAGCGCTGGCCTCTGAAGAATGCCCCATCCCAATCTGTTCTCAGCAGATGCCAATCCGTAGACGGTTGCTGTGTGAAGTATTAAAATAAGCATAGCGGCAAGATGGTAAATGGTAAATGGCATGTACTTATATAGCGCCTTTATTCAAGTTAAGAGACCTGACCAAAGCGCTTTACACTACATTCATTCACCCATTCACACACACACTCACACACTGATGGTTTTGGTTTGTCAGCAACTTGCCAACTTCCAACCGTATCTGGAGGCTGTTAGCTATGATTGAGGACTTAGCCCTGGAACAAAAAGGCAGTCTCTCTCTTTCAGGGTAATTTGGAAATAACAGCTTCAGAGTAATTTCTCTGTCTGAGGTTTTAATCTCCCTCATTATGATAAAAATGACACGTTAGAAAAGGTTATTGCTTTGGGCATTACACATGAAAACTAATCCTCGGCCTATTTTACGCCTGGAAAACAAACAGATCGGAGGCATGCAGGATCATTTTCATAAAGCAAACAAGTCAAGCCCAAGATGCAGCTATGCAAAATCAGCACATGGAAATGATGAACCTGCTGGCGCCGCGCCACAGCCTAAATGGCAGACAGGTGTTTGAGGGCACATGGAGGGTAGTGAAGGGGGGGAAACAATGGTTCCCTTCTTTTCAGACTCAGGAAATAACCAAAAATAATACAGCAATTATTTCATTTAGCATGTGTAATGAAGATAATGGACTTAATTTTCAGCAGCATCCTGTATCGGGGGGGGGGGTGTCACAAATAACGG